CTTTATGTCATTTGTGTTTTCATGATATATTCATTCATGTCAATGCATCTATAAGCATACATGAAGTAAAAGTTTTCAAATGTCAATGATTGTTTTTCAAGATATGTACCTCGAATGTTTTTGCTATGAGATGTATGTCTATCCTATGAAAAGTGTGAGTGGGAAATGGGGCGTGTGTGACGGCGCACCCGACCAATGTTAAATGATAGTGTTGTCAACCTTTTTGTGGTTCTACCGGTAGGACTTGACCGGTTCCAAATAATAATTGCCTGCTGCATTCTAATTGGCTAAGCATATACACCAAATGAGCTCACGATATCAATGCTAAGTTTTTAAAGAAATGGAAGAAAGGGGGATACGTATTAAGAAAGACATTTATTTTAAAGTAATTCATGTACATATCATAAGCATACATACATGAGGTTTGCTTATTGAGCGTTAGCTCATTCCACGTTATCCCTCGCCATTTTCAGATGATGAAGGCAATGATTCGAGACGACTACTCGTGGTGCGATGGATTCAGTACTAATACATTCAAATAACGACTCCTTTTGTAAAATGAAGTTAACATTTAATTTTATTGTTTTTCTTTTTCATTCAAGTGAAAAAGTTTTCTACAAGTTTAAGTTATATACATAAATGAAGTCAATGATGTTCATTATATGAAAGAAAATTTTAATCGCTTCCATATTTATGATTTTGAGAGAAAATGAAATGATAATACTTCTAGATCTAGGTATCTGAATTTAGGGGTTACAACAACACCCTTGCAATCATGCCTCCGCATAAAAATACCACTTGCTGGAGAGTTTGAACCTGCACACACCCCTGAAATAGGACTAATTTTGGGTGATCACGTACAGGTGCAGTTTTTGTGACACAAAATTGATGAAGGATTAGGATAAATATAAGGTACCTCGATCTGTTCAGGACTTAACAAGAATTTGAAATAATTCTTAATATGCAAAAAATGAGTTTCCAGTGACTGGCAGATTGAACAGATATGATGAGAAACCACAAACACGGTGAATAGAAATAAAATATCATGAGTAATAGCAGACAACATGGTTACTGTCGAAAAGTATAGGTATAATTGTAAAGATTGAATTGTTCAAATGGGATACAAAGTTAGCCAAATAATACAGAACAAAGTCTGGTACCACCATCTTGTAGCACTATCAATAAAGAATTCTAAATATGTTTGCAAGTAGAGCCTCATGGTTGACTCTTCCCTATAAAAGATAACAAATATCACCATGAGTATTGAATTGAATTTGATGACATACTTTTCATACTAACATATATGGGCCTAACTTTTTGTAACTTCAAGTACCATTTTTCAAATCGCAATGGGTGCTTTTGCAGAACTCTATAAGATTTTGGTTTCTTGCAGGCATATACACAAACACATATTGAGCAAGCCGCAAAGAATTTCCTTGTAGTAGTAATCTAGCAGTGCTTAACACAAGAGAATGCGATAAAATTTTGTGGGACTGGCCTAAAACAAAAGTTGAGACTGGTAAACACAAGCCTGAGCATTGCCGATGGGAACAAGATTGAGATAATTGCTCGCGTTGCTTGCAGCAGAACTGGTTGTCATTGTTGATTTTACATTTTGAATGATATTTTACAATAGATTGTGGATAGGACTCTGCAACTAAGGTGCTAGGTGGTGCGAGTTGACTCACCATAATGAGTGAATAAAAAAAAAATGGTGAGCCACCAAGAGACGAACTAAGTCACCCTTTGATTGAGCGAGTCGACCCCGACGGCAAGACTTACCCATATCTACAAACATAAAAATGAGATTATGGGTAAGATTGTGGTTTTGGTCACTCGACAATGAAAATGGGTTATTTGACTATTAAAATTTTATTTAAATGACTATTATACTTTTAATCTTAAAATAAATAAAATTATTTCAAAATTTCTTTTTCTTTTAAAAAATGATCACTATTAACCTTGAGGGGGTTGCTCAATTGGTAAGGCTTTGGGTTTGCTCCCCAATGGTCACCAGTTCGAGTCCCCTCAGGGCCACTGAGGTGAGTATCTGGTCGTAAACCTCAAGGGCTCGTGGGATTAGTCGAAACGTGCGCAAGCGGCCTGAACATCCAAAGTTATTAAAAAAAAAATAAAAAATGATCACCATTGTTTGGGATTTTTGGTACGTTCAGGGGTGGACCCAGATAAATTTTTGAGTGGGGGTGGAGCCAGCTCGTCGAAGTAGGGGGGGTCCAAAGTTGAAGAGGTGGCGGCTGCCCCCGAAATTTTTTTTCCGGAGTTGTTGAATAGTTTAGATTTAGCT